ACAAATGAGGCAGGGATCCTACACGCACTAGCCTCCTTTACTACAGAACCCTCATTTATCCCCAGAGCAGGTCCATCCAGGACACTGAATGAGGCATGGGTCCCTGTGATCATGTAACTAAAGACTGTCACAATCTGCCACATCTGGGAACTGAATTAAGGGGTGTCACGGAGAGCATAGGCTCCCGGCTCTTAGTTCTGGTGCCCGTTCCCAGACCAAACCTGAGCAGCTGCGAAACTGCCTGTTCCCAGACCAAAACTGAGCAGCCGTTACATGGGAAAAAACCCTTATGCCCCCATAGCCCTGAGCTGGAGCCTACTCAGTCTTTCTGCGGGAATGGCACATGCGGAGTCCGGTCGCATATGGACACTGTGAAAGGCTTGAGAATGCTCAGCATGGCCAGAATCTTTAGAGATCTAAGAAATTTCTCCTGAGCATGTGCAAACTGCAATTTTTCATGGGTTTACAATTTAGCCAAATTTGGGCAGATTTTCATGGGGATGGCAAAATGTACTTCCCTGGCACAAAAACCAACTCCCTTCTCCAAAGCATAGAAGAGCTAGAGAAAAGATCACCAGATCAAAGAAAAGACTCTTTTTTAACCTTGTATTTTTCCTTAGCCTTATTCTTGGAAATGGCTGAAATTTTCTACCCTCTTCCTTCTCTCCTCCCCCCCCCCAAATCAAATTATATACACACACACATACACACACCTTAGGCAGACATCTGGCATGAAAAATTCCAGCCCAAATAGATATATTTTGGCAAGCTGAATATAAGTAACTGAAAATAGAGTCTCATATTGGGAAGTGTTGGGCAATCTTATTAATGGGCCGTGCTACCAGCCCTGTGTACAGTTAAACTACTAAAAATATTTTTTTAAAATTATAATTGATATGTACATGGATTTTAAACTTCTGTTATGTAATTGTTAGATGACGCTAAAGTCAAAATTTCAAATAACATAGATATTAAGGTGTGTCTTTAGATATTTAATAATCACTATGTACACATTAAGTTCTTTTGCATACAAATACCAATTTGAAATTTTACTCCAGTGACACATAGGCACCCAAAAAGTCTCTAATACATCACAGGTAGAATTTTAGACAGTCCATCTTTGTTTTTAAATTATCCATTTGTCCAGTTTTCTCTTTCTCTCCTTTTTATTTTGTCAGTAGTGTTTGAGGTTATTCCATTGTATAATTTACAAACAAACAATATAGTTTTAAAGTTCTTCAGTTTGTTTTGAAATTAATAAATCCACCACTTATAAGCTAGCAGAGACTTCCATATCCTTACTATAGTATATTCCTTGCGACGAACAACGCTGTACAAACATTTGTGTATTAAAATTTATTTTTTGCATTTTCTATTTCAAAGGTTATATCGTGAAGGCGAACGATGATACTCCTCATTCTAGTAATATTTTTGTTAACAGTTACTATTTGCAGCCAGAATGTCTGAATTTTGGAACAGAATCAAATTATACATTCTAAATCCGTTTCTCCATTGTAACTGCTCCAGCACTCTTTATGATGCTGTAATTTCACGGTCTATAACGTGGAAGGTATATAATAGAATATGAGTTTTTACTGACAATCTATCAAATCGCAGACAATTGCTACTTCGTGGATACATTGTCTCATTCTATTATTCCTCTAAGGTTTGGAAGCCAAATGCTTCTCCCGTTTATCTCGATTGCTGAGTTTGAACAAAACAAGCAATCTTTTATATATTTTCAGTGGAAAGGAATTTTAAATAGAATCCTGGAATGCAATTGTCTTTAAATTAGTTGTTTTCTGTTACGTCTTTTTCTCTCTCTCTCTCTCTCTCTCATGTACTTTGTGAGAAGATTGTAGCGTTAAGTGTAGGGTGGCTGTGGCCATAGGAAGCTTTCATTTTTCTTTGGCATGGCCTGGAGCTCTTCCTGTATATGATGGTGTGAGATACAGTATGAATCAGGAATGAGCAAATTTGAAACCAGCACTGCCATTTGTGAGGCTGGGTTTTTTTGCCCCATATAGATGTGTCACACAACTCAACAGCGTCTGGAGTAAAGGTGACATAACAGAATTCCCATTTTATTTTCTTACTGATTTCTCCTATTCTTGATTCCCCTCTTCCCCTCCCACACCAGTATTATTATTATTGGGGTTTAAATTTGATTGTCCATGTACTATTGAAATTATTTCCTACATGATTTCTTTTGCATGCTCTTCTAGGGAAGTTTACAATGTCTGAAAAACACTTTTACAAGTTTGACAACTGATTGATCTTCAGTAGAACATCTTCTAACAGAAATTATATTTTCTTCCTTAATAACCTCCGCTCTCTTTACTGATAAATGAAGATTTGGCTAGAGCTCTCTCTCCCTCATTGTGACAAGTAAATGTAATAGTTAAATTAAACAATTTTGTGGGATTTTTAATTGGCAATATTAGATTGGCACATTTATTATACTGTTGAAGGTAGTACCCATAATGTCAGTGACTCTGTAAAGCAGAACCTCCATCTCACTCACTTTTTCAGTGATTGCTTGATTAGTCTGCACTACCGTTACTTTTGTAGAGTCTTGCATTTTAAGGGTCATCCTTTCTCTTTCATCGCAGACAAATTGATTTGTGCACTTGAATTGAAAACATCTCCTTCCCTCCACCCTCAAAACCATATAGTAGGTGTAGATTTTCAACCGCACAAAACAAGATGCTCTGTTCATTCTTTTACATTCTATTTTAACTGTAACCAGTCAGGAAGAAGACCTAGGTGTCACGGGACAGCTTAATGAAAATATCTACTTGATGCATAGAAGTGATCAATAAAAAGTTAGGCTGCATAAAGAATGGGCTAGAAAGTACTGACTATATTATAATGCCATTATATAACTAAATGCTATGTTTTTCCCCCTTGAATGTACTCTGTTCAATTCTAGCCAACCCTTCTATAGAAATACATACCAAAAATACAGAAGGGGTCCAAAGGTGGGCTATACATGATTAGCTGTATAGTGAGACTTCACGTGAAGAGCGATTGAGAAGATTAGGATTCTTAACTAGAAAGATGATGAATAGGGGATATGATTGAGGTATTCAGAATAATGAATGAGATACAGAGAGTGAATCAGAAGTTCCCATTTATCTCTTCTCACAGTACAATAACAAAAGGACTTCAAATGGAATTGAAAAGCAACACTTTTAAAACTGATAAAAATAAATACTCTTAGCACACAACTAACCTGTGGAACTTATTGCACTAAGAGATTACTGAAGGCAAGGTCTTAATAAGATTCAAAATAATACTTAGTTATAAATATAGATATAGTAGAACCTCAGACTTACGAACTGACCAGTCAACCACACACCTCATTTGGAACAGGAAGTACGCAATCAGGCAGCACCAGAGACCCCCCCCCCCCAAAAGGCAAATACAGTACAGTGCTGTACTAAACTGAAACTACCTAAAAATAAAGGGAAAGCAGATGTGACGTTGCACTCTATATGATGTCATGAAAATATGCTAATGAGCGTAAATATAATCTAACTGGAATATGCTTCATGCAAAAGGTCTCTTGTAAGGTATCATTACAAAGCTTATAATCTACTGAGTGTGGTCATCCTATTTGTATAACTGTATCACTCTTGTATCTGAAATTAGAAATATGAAATATAACTCTAAGGTCCTATTGTAGTTATGCAAAGTGTGGGCTATTAATGGTGGTTTGGAATCCTGATGGCTCCCATTAACCAGGACAATTGACTGTAGATGGCTCTGTTTTATTTGTGAGTCTTCCTGTATACGTGTGTGCTGGCAAGTGGGTAATGAAGTCTTACAGTGACGTGTGATCATGTCACCTGAACTGGAATCCATTTTTAACCTGGTGCTTTTCCATTTAGAGGGGGGGTGTGGGGACCCAGAGAGAGACCAAAGATTCCTGCCTTGTGCCAAAGATATATAAGTGGGTGGAACAGAACAAAGGGGCAGCCATCATGAGAAATCCCCTAGCTACCACCTGAGCTGGAACAAGGGCTGTACTGGGGAAAGGATTGTGCCCAGACTAGGAAGGCGTCCAGTCTGTGAAAGAAACTTATTGAAACATCTCTGAGGGTGAGATTTTATCTGTATTCAGTTTTATTACAAACATTACTGTACTAGGCTTAGACTTGGTGTTTTGTTTTATTTTGCTTGGTAATTCACTTTGTTCTGTCTGTTACTACTTGGAACCACTTAAATGCTACTTTCTGTATTTAATAAAATCACTTTTTACTTATTAATTATCCCAGAGTATGTATTAATACCTGGGGGGGGGGGCGCAAACAGCTGTGCATACCTCTCTATCAGTGTTATAGAGGGCAAACAATTTATGAGTTTACCCTGTATAAAGCTTATACAATGGATTTATTTGGGGGTTTGGACTGCATTGGGAGTTGGGCATCTGAGTGTTAAAGACAGGAACACTTCTTAAGCTGCTTTCAGTTAAATCTTCAGCTTTGGGGCATGTGGTTCAGACCCTGGGTCTGTGTTGGAGCAGACTGGCGTGTCTGGCTCAACAAGATAGGGTGCTGGAGTCCCAAGTTGGCAGGGAAAGCAGGGGCAGTAGTAGTCTTGGCACATCAGTTGGCAGCCCCCTGGGGGTTTCTGTGATCCAACCAGTCACAGCAGGATTTTTCTTCTGCATTGTAAAGGTACAAAGCTGTATTAAATCAATGTTCAGTTGTAAACTTTTGAAAGAACAACATTTTGTTCAGAGTTACGAACAACCCCCATTCCCGTAACTCTGAGGTTTTACTGTAGTGAAATCATCCACAAGTAGATGGTATAAAGGATGTAGACCCTCATGCAGGTTGTCCACAATGGAATTTCTTGCACCTTAAACTGAAGCACTTGGTTCTAGCCTCCAGTGGAGACAGAATTCCAGACTTGAGGCACCACTGGACTGATCTGGTGTGGCAGTTTCTATGTATTTCTGTTTTTGGTAACATGGTCTTTTTTTTTTTCTTCAGGTTGAATTCTCCTATCCTCCCCTCATCCCAGGAGAAGGACATGACAGCCACAGTTTACCAGAAGAATGGAAATACTTGCCTTTCCTTGCCTTGCCAGATGGAGCTCACAACTATCAAGAAGGTAAGAAAGCAAACATGAGGTTACAGCATCTGAGTGAGGATCAGTGGCAGTAGCTGAAGACTGGGTCCTCCTGTGTGCTTCTACTAGGGGGGGAAAGAATCCTGACACTTGAACTATTAATTAACCAGGCTTCTGACTACTTGCATTCTATTAATCTTTATTTTGTAGTTTAGTCCACAACTGCAGAAATGGATTTTACAGAAATGGAATCTGTAAAAAGAAGCAACTTAAAATACTTGCGCTTTTAAACTGAACCCTGATCATGAGAATGCAGTAGCAGGAAATCTTCACTCAATACAGGGGGTTCCTTTAATGGGTACAACCTCACTTGCCTATGGTTATAAAATAAAATAAAATAAAATAAATAACCCACACTCCCCAAAACCTTCATTAAGGAAATCTGATCCTGTAAATATTTTTGGAGGTGGGAGAAAAAGTATTTAAAAGTGTGTGAACAAAGCAATCTGTTTTTGCTTAAATAGATCTGTGGTTCTCAAAATGTGTTCTACAGATCCTTATTGACAGTCTGCAGAAATCATATAGTGAGAACCAACCAATGAGAAGGGCAGGAGGACTTGCTATGAAGAGTAGTGACCTTCAGAATGAAAAGGTGGGAGAATAATTTTGCCATATTTAGGACTTAGCCAAGGCATAGCAGGCTATAGGTAAATATATCTATAGATAGTTTTGCTCTGTCTATAGATGGAAAAATGAAATATTTTATTTAAAATTTTCTCTTAATCTTGCTTTATGCTTCCTCCTCAAGAAGACCAACTTTCTGAGAAACCAAGGATCAGTTTACACAAGTCCTATTGTCTGGGACTTTCAGTTTCAAATTCTGAATCAGTATCAAAATAGCACTATAGGCGCTGGAGAAAAAGGGATCACTTTAAAATGAACACTTGAAAATATTTTACTTTTACAAGTAATGCCAAAGGGTCCTATAACTGAAAGATTAGAGGGAAAATATTTTTTTTTTCATTCCAGATTTTTTTCTTTGTGCATTTGTGACAGTACTTTTTATGTACTGTGGTACTTTTCATTATGTACTGTGGTGCCACGTACAGTCAATTTGTCTGTTTCTTCTTTGAGTGCTTGTTCATGTCCATTCCAATCAGGTGTGCATGTGCCACGTGCATGACAGCCAGAAGATTTTTCCCCAGCAGTATCCATAGGGTCGGCCTGGGCGCCCCCTGGAGCTGCGCCTTCATAGCACCCAATATAGGCCCTACTGACCTGATCCCCCCCCCTCAGTTCGTTCATACCACCGGTGACAGCTAGCTGGAACTTCCCTCACTCTTGCTATTGCAAGTGCCTTTAGCAGTATCCCATTGTCTGTTGCGGGGGAGGGATAGCTCAGTGGTTTGAGCATTGGCCTGCTAAACCCAGGGTTGTGAGTTCAATCATTGATGGGGCCATTTAGGGATCTGGGGCAAAATCGGTGCTTGGTCCTGCTAGTGAAGGCAGGGGACTGGACTCAATGACCTTTCAAGGTCCCTTCCAGTTCTATGAGATAGGTATATCTCCATATATTTTATTATTATTATATAGTTAGATTATTTGTTAGTAGTGTTAGTAGTGTCTCTAAGTTTCTGTCTCTCCCCCCCCCCGTTTGTTCCCCAACACGGGGGCATGCCTTGGTCGCTGGGGTTCAAATTATGTGAAGTCTGTGGGAAAGTGATGCCAAAGAGTGACCCGCACACTTCTTGTTTGAAGTGCCTCGGCGAGAGTCACCCAAATGACAAGTGCCGCATTTGCAAGGGGTTTCGGCCGCGGACCCTTAAGGATTGCAAGCAGAGACTCAGAATTCTCCTCATGGAGGCAGCACTCCATCTGCAGTCCAACCCTGGATCAGCGGAGCCCATGCCGAGCGCTGCCTCCTCTTTGCGCAGCGCACCGGTGCCGACGGCGCGTGAGCCAACACCAAGAAAGGTGGCTAAGAACTCCCGGCACCGACACGGCGCCAAACATAAGACTTCTGGCAGGCACTGATCTTCGTCCCCGGTGCCTGAGAAGAAAAAGAAGCAGGAGAGGGGACGCTCTCCCCCTCCTAAGCCTAAGGAGCCAGTGGCAGGGAGGCCTCAGCCCATCCAGCCTGCTTCAGGCCTGGTGCCTCCTAGGGGCTTGTCGACTCCTGCCCTGCAAGAGGTCCAATCGAGTCCGGCCCATTACCATTCTCCAGACTGTCATGACCGGGACACTGAATTCCCTTCCACTACAGAGACTTTGAGGCAGTGCAGGACCTTATTTGCCTAGGCCCATCCTAGACCTGCGAGAGCTCAACAAGTTCATGAAGAAGCTTAAGTTCCGCATAGTCTCTTTGGCCTCCATCAGCCCTTCATTGGATCGAGGAGACTGGTATGCCACCCTTAACTTGAAGGATGCATAATTTCACATAGCAATAATTCTGTCCCATAGAAAATACCTCAGGTTTGTGTTGAACAACACCCACTACCAGTTCACAGTCCTTCCATTCAGCCTGGCAGCGGCACCTCAAGTGTTCACCAAATGCCTGGCAGTCGTGGCTGCATTCCTGCGCAGGTGGCACGTACAGGTGTTCCAGTACCTCGACAACTGGCTCATCAGGGGCAGCTCCAGGTCTCAAGGGGAGGCACAAGTCGACTTCATAAGAATGACGTTCGACAAACTGGGCCTCCTTCTGAACTAGGGGAAATCAAAGTTGTCCCTGGTTCAGCGGATAGAGTTTATAGGGGCAGTACTGGACTTGACACAAGCCAGGGCATACCTCCCAAAAGCAAGGCTTCCGTCCCTCGGCAACATCATATGAGGTCTCAGGCAGTTCCCCACCATCACAGGAAGGAATTGCCTGAAACTCCTGGGACACCTGACAGCTTGTATTTACGTAGTATAGCATGCCAGACTCAGACTTCGACCTCTTCAGTCGTGGCTAGTGTTAGTGTATCAGCCAGTCTGGGACAGCTTGGATCATAACCCTGCTTCGCCTGGTACTCGACTCCCTCCTGTGGTGGCTTGACCAATAGGTAGTATGTGCAGGGGTCCCCTTCACCAGCCCCCAGCCATCCCTCTCACTAGTGATGGATGTGTCAGCCTTGGGCTGGGGAGCACATCTGGAAGACCTCAGGCCACAAGGTTTCTGGTCTCAGGCAGAACTCGCTCTCCACATCAGTGTCAGAGAGCTTACACATGACAGACTTTCTGAGCCCACTTGACAAAGAGATGTATATCAGATATGACAGACTACATCACGGTGATATTTTATATCAACAAACAGTGGGGTGCATGCTTCTCTCCCCTGTGCTATGGGACTTCTGTGTAGACCATTCGATACATCTGCAAGCATCGTACCTCCCTGGAATACAGAATAAGTTGGCGGACTATCTCAGCAGGTCACTCCATGGCCACAAATGTTCCCTTTGCCCAGACGTTGCAAACGCAATCTTCCTTTAGTGGGGTTTTCCCCAGATAGACCAGTTCGCCACGTGACGCAACAGGAAGTGCCAGCAGTTTTTCTCCCTCCTGAATCACAGCCCGGGCTCCATTGCGGTCGCGTTTCGCCTCCCCAGGGGGAGGCTATCTTGTGTACATGTTTCCACCTATCCCTTTCATTCACAAGGTGCTCCTCAAGATATGGAGGGAACAAGCTTCGGTGATATTGATAGCCCCAGCCTGGCCTCGCCAGCACTGGTACACATCACTCCTGGAAATGTCCGTGGAAGCTCCAGTCACCTTGCTGCTCTTCCCAGACTTACTAACTCAGGATCACGGTCGGCTTCAGCATCCAAACTTCAAGTCTCTGCACCTCATGGAAGCTCCATGTCTGAACCCGATGGAGCTCTCTTGCTCGGACCCGGTTAGACAAGTCCTCCTTGGCAGTAGAAAGCCCTCCACCAGGGCTACCTACCTTGCTGCGCTGACCAGATTGAAAATCTCTTCCACTTGGCATCATTCATCCCCGACACTCATCTCTGTGCCACTTAGACTATTTTCTCCATCTCAAGCATTAGGGGCTGTCCATGTCGTTAATAAGGGTTCACTTGGCTGCCATCTCTACCTTCCATCCAGGCTCAGAGGGCTGGTCAGTCTTCGCCAGCCCTATGGTCAACCGTTTCCTCAAAGGTCTCGACAGGTTATATACGGAAGTCAGGCAGCTGGTCCCAGCCTGGGACCTCAACCTGGTCGTTTCCAGACTGATGGCACCGCCTTTTGAACTGCTAGCGGTGTGCTCCCTGCTCTACCTCTCGTACAGCTTTCCTCCCGAAGGTTGTCTCCCAGTTTCACATCAACCAGGACATCTTCCTCCAGTGTTCTGTCCTAAGCCGCACTCGAGCGGCAGGGAGCAGAGGCTTCACTCTTTGGATGTCCACAGAGCACTTGCCTTTTATATCGAAAGAACATAACCATTCCAGAAGCCCATTCAACTGTTTGTGACTGTGGCGGACAGAAGGGTCTTCCAATCTCTTCCCAACAAATTTCGTTGTGGATCACGTCCTGCATTCGACAGTGCTACAACCTGGCACGGGTGCCAGCCCCTCCAATCACTGCACACTCCACCAGGGCACAGGCTTCTTCAGCAGCTTTCCTGGCTCAGGTTCCTACCCAGGAAATATGCAGGGCAGCAACGTGGTCCTCCATACACATTTTCGCCGCACATTATGCGATTACCTAGCACACCAGAGACGATGCAGCCTTTGGTAGAGCGGTACTCCAATAGGTGGACAACTCTGACCCTGCCTCCTGAACTTGGGCTTGTGATTCACCTGATTGGAATTGACATGAACAAGCACTTGAAGAAGAAAAACGGTTAGTCACTTTCTCGTAACTGTTCTTTGAGATGTGTTGTTCATGTCCATTCCAATACCCTCCCTCCTATCCCTCTGTCGGAGTACCCGTCAAGAAGGAACTGAGGTGGGGTTGGGTCGGCAAGGCCCTATATTGGGCGCTATGAAGTTGCAACTCCAGGGGGCACCCAGGCAACCCTACAGATACTGCTAGGGAGAAAATCTTCCAGCTTTCGTGCACACAGTGCACGCACACCTGATTGGAATGGACATGAACAACAGATCTTGAAAAACAAAACTTACGAGAAGGTGAGAAATCGTTTTTTCTCTGCACAGCAACAGGGGAGAAGAAAACTTTTTAAAAAGAAGAAATTGTAAAATCACAAAAATACCCTGATACTACTTTTAATTAGGGTTTTGTTATGTTTCTAATTCAAATTGCATCTGACCCTCTAAATTTTAGAGGTATTTCATCTGGAATTGGTAGCAAAAGTATCGGAGTTGTATCAAAAGAATTTATCTTTGCATCAGTAAAAGGCCACTCCTTGACTCTGTGTTGGGTCCTGACTTGGTTTCATTTCTGTATAATTAAATATCAAATGATCTACTGAGTGCATTCTAAAGCAGGAAGTAGGACCAGGTGAGTGAAGTTGTTTCTACATTGGCTCAGTGCCACAGCCCTATGTATGAAAGCTAAATAGTTGACTTTCTGTCATTTCATTACCACAGCAACAGGTCATTAGTGCATATTTTGAAGTGAGAGAGATTGCTTCAAAGCTAGTATAGCAACAAAGCAACTAAACCTGTTAGGTATATATCCTTGGGTTTTTATGGCCAGAAACACACTAAAGATTTAAGTTGGAATTACCAAATGTATTTCAAAATAAGATTACCGTAAATTTACTATAACATATTGGGCCTGGTTTTCCTGTGCAGGTTATGAATAATTCACAGTGTAGGAGTTACTAGTGTCCAGTGAAATGGGGAATTAGGCTACTTGTTTATTGGTTTGAAGAGACATTTATTAAAAATTCTACTAAACCCTTAGCCAATCTCTTTAGAATGCAGTGAAATCTGTAAAAAGGACTGACCGTTTTTAGTACCTAACTCCTTTCCTCAAGAGACTACTCCATATTTTTAAGTACAGTTCTGTTTCATTTCATTATTATAAAGTCAGTAACCAATTTTAGTCACTCTCAAGACAGGGTTCACTTCAGAGTGAAATGTTGTGAACTGCAAAACAGAATTCTTCTAACGAGTGCTTTGCCTTTGCTATATCTATAAATTAGCAATTAACAGTTAGTGGCAGTAATATATCTATCTGTTTGCATAATTATTAAACACTGTCTAGCTTTGAAGTAAACCCTGCAGCTTTAATGAAAAGCTCTTTTTTTAGTACCCTTTGTCATGTCATAGCATAAATATTGCTTATTTGGCACCTTTGCACAGAGAGAAAGTGAGTTGTTTACTAGTTACTGGAACAGTTTAGTCAGATTTAGACACAAAGACTTCAGCGCTACTTACAAAAGGGTAGAGCTGGTAGAAAGTGCAGTTTCTTCAGTAAGGCTTTTGTAAATGAGAGTAATGTTGAAAAAGATGTCTACAGAGCTGAAAATACAAAATGTTGATGTATCATTCTGTTGGTGACTGATGAAGCTTTTTTCTCTCCTTTCTTAGATACTGTGTTTTTCCACTTGCCCCCAAGATGTGGAGATCGAACCACAATATATGGTGTCTCATGCTATAGGCAGATTGAAGCCAAGGTAATTTATAGTTGCAAATATACAAGAGTAAAATTGTAGGTTTGATACAGAAATGAATGGGTGAAATTCTCTGACCTGCATTATACAAGAGATCAACCCTATCTGATCAGAATGGTCTCTCTGGCCTTAAAACCTATGAATCTGCAGAGTAGGCACCTTTAGAGCTGAAGAAGTCTCTTTTCTTTCATGACCAGGAACATTGTGGTTCATGTCAGTCTCCTTACACGTCCCATTATATGTTTTGGTTACAGCGAATCTACCAGGCAAGAGCTCCCAGAAGCTGAAGTAGGCTGGAAGAATCTGTCAGGCTAGCTAAGAATTTATATTGCCAGGGAAGTGGAACTCCTTGCTGAAAGCAGATTTAAATTATTCCAGTAACAGCCCTTAAAAGATCTTTGGGTACCTCTATTGTCTATTGCACAGACACACAAATTCTTCCTTCATGTATCTCCTTTATTTCCAGAAAAGATATTGGTCTCCTTTGAAAAAAGTAAAATTTCAAGGTGGATCAAAATTCTCTTTTGCACTGGTTTTCCATTAAATGTAGTTCTCTATTGTCCAGACCAGTTACATTTTCAGGGAAATATTTTGGGGCTATAAGGGCTGAAAGGGGGTTGTAGTGTGTATTGTCCCACTCTTTGAGGAAATTGTCTTGTACTTGATCTGATATATTATATTGTGCCCATCACTTTTTAAAATCTTGGCACAATTCACAATGTTTGTAGTTATAATTACTCTCTAATGTTATTACAGACTTATTTTAAAATATGTATAATAACCTTTCCAATGACATGCAACAACCTTGAATGTCTAATAGTTTTTAGAAGGAGTTCTGGATAACTTTTATGTTCAGAAGTCTTAAATGACATGCTGTGTACTTTATTTATATTGTCCCCCAATCACATTTGGATTACTTTTAAAGTCTGTTTATTAATTCTTGTTTGAATCAACTTTACAATATTAAATGCATAATTGCAATTCTATTATTATTATTTTTGTATTGACTCTGGTTTATTCAGTATTTGTGCAATAGGCAATTATTGTGGTATCCTGTGGTTAAAGTCTCTCTGTATTTAACTGTATAGTTGTTTTAACTTAGTTTTATTATACTGCTGATTACAGTTTCTGCTGTTTACTAACCATTAAGAGGGTAAATAGATTTTAAATTGAACTGTTTTGGAACAAGTGGAATATAAAGCAATATGTGTTTTATGTAGCAACAACTTCAGCATTCTGCCCAATCTGGCTTTTTGATAGATATGTGGGCTGTAATCCACATTCTTGTTGTTTTGTACAATATAAGAGAATCATTTGGCTATATGGTTTCTGCCTCTACCCTTTCTAGCCCTGCTGATAAATGTTAGAACTATTTGTTCTAGCTGAGAGAGCAGCTGACTCCACAGGTGTTGCCACTTCCATTTACATCTGGCTAGAAGAAAATGCCCAAGCATGAAACACTCTTTCCAGACCAAAGCTTTTCAACTGGTCCCTTTGTATAGGTATTGTGTCAGAGAAGGAGGAGGGAGAGGTTGTGGCCTTTTGCTTGTCAAATCACCCTGAGCTAAACATACCTGTTTCTTCCCCATCCCACTGCCTTCTATTTATGCTGGTGCCTTTTAAACAGTCTTCAGTACCAAAGACTGTGCATGTCATCTCAGTGTAATACTCTGCAAACTAGGCAAATGTGGTCTAGATAAAATTACTATAAAGTTGTTGCATAATTGGTTGAAAACTTATACTCAGAGTACTTTTCAGTGGTTCACTGTCAAACTGAGAGGGCATATCTAGTGGAGCTCCATAGGGATCTGTCATGAGTCCAGTACTATTTAATATTTTCATTAATGACTTGGATAATGGAATGGAGACTCTGCTTATAAAATTTTCAGATGACACCAAGCTGGAAGGGGTGCAAGCACTTTGAGGATAGGATTAGAATTCAAAATGACTTTGATAAATTGAAGAATTGGTCTGAAATCAACAAGATAAAATTCAATAAAGGCAAATGCAAAGTATACATTTAGAAAGTAAAAATCAAATGCACAACTATAAAATGGAGAATAAACTGGCTAGGAACTACTATCCCAGTAAAGAATCTGGGGTTATAGTGGATCACAAATAGAATATGTGACAACATTGTGATACAGTTGTGAAAAAAGGCAAATGTCATTCTGGGGTGTATTAGCAGGCGTGTCATATGTAAGACATAGGAGATAATTGTTCCAATCTGCTCTGCACTGGCGAGGCCAGGGCTGCAGTATTGTGTCCAGTTTTGGGCACCACGTGCTAGGAAACATGTGGACAAATTGGAGAGAGTCCAGAAGAGAGCAACAAAAAATGATAAAAAGATTAAAAAAAAAACTTACATGTATAAAGATTAAAACAACCTGTGTGTGTTTAGTCTTGAGAAAAGAAGACTGAGGGGGACGATCTGATAACCGTCATCAAATATGTTAAGAGCTGTTACAGTGATCAATTGTCTCCCTGTCCATTAGAGGTAGGACAAGAAGCAATAGGCTTAATCTGCAGCAAGGGAGATTTAGGTTAGATTTTAGAAAAAAACTTTCTAATTATAAGGGTTACCAAAGGAGGCTGTGGAATCCCCATCTTTGGAGGATTTTAAGAACAAGTTTGACAAACATCTGTCAGAGGTTGTCTAGGTATACGTAGTCCTGCCTCAGCATGGGGGAGTGCAGGTGGACTAGATGGCTTCTTGAGGTCCCTTTCAGCTTAAAATTTCTATGATTCTATTTGCAACTACTGTCTGCGCAGTGAGTTAAGAACACAACTGTGACCAATTGTTCTGACTATTTGTAGTGTTGTAAAGCATATTGCCTTAAGGTCTGATACTGCACCATTGAAGTCAATTGAAGTTTCAGTGACAGCAACATGGGGGGACAATAGACAACAATGAGTTAGGCCGAGTGGTGTGCTGTCTATGTATGCAGCACATGCATTGCATGCCTCAGAATTCACAAAAAATGTTTTATTCTACAAGCATGTGAAAGCCTTGCATGTAATTAATCTGTTCATGTCAGCTGTTGTCTTGTTTTGCTGGCAAGGCGTGCAGTGCTCCAAGTTACATCACATTGCCTAGGCAACATTACTGTAGGCAGATGACTTCCTGACCAGCTGTGCACTGGAAAAAGTAGCTCAGGCATGAAAGTGTAGAATTGAGTCGTCTGTGATTGAACAGAGCTAGCAATGTCAACTCCTCATCAGGATGGAAAGTTTCGTGCCAAATTTGTTCACTAATTCATTTAGTGCAAGAGACTATAAAGAAACAGACATTATAAATAATGGAAGCCCAAACCAAAATTGTAATTAGTGATCTGAAACTGTGGGCTGGTCTACACTGGGGGGGGGATAAATCCAAGATCGATTCAAGTCGAAGTATCTTGAATCAAATTACCTGGGGTCCACACGGCGCGGTATCGACGGCCGCAGCTCCCCCGTCGACTGCGCTACCGCCGCTCGCTCTGCTGGAGTTCCGGAGTCAACGGTGAGCGCGTTCAGGGATCGATATATCGCGTCTTGTTAAGACGCGATATATCGATCCCGGATAAATCGATTGCTACCTGCCGATACGGCGGGTAGTGAAGACATACCCTGTATTTCAGTGAAGCTGTGTACAAATGTGAATGGATCTGTGAGTGTGTGAAAACAAACAAGCTATACTACTGACCCTGTCTACTTTTCATCAATGAAAAGAATGTATGGAATAAGGCACGATACAATGACCTAAAGAACCATTATAAAGCTTGTGGTTGTCATTAGTAGCCAGCAACACCTAGCAGGCTGTATACAGTTACGAACATTTGGACAAGCTTGCACTGATCTTCAGTTAGATAAGCTATGGAGAAGTGCTGTGAGACAACACAATAAAAAGACTGTCAGAATCAGGCTCTTTGCAAAGACTAATTTATGTTTTATTTAATCTCAGAGAACAAGAGCTGGTGTTTTGTAGGGATAACTAAATGGATGACTTCCTGAATCGGGGCAATTATGTAGAAACCTTAGAATTAGTCAGGGAATTTGATCCTTTAATCAAGCAGCATTTGGGAACCATCTACTTTATTTTCTGGAACATCAAACAATTCAAAATAACCTCATCAAAGCAGTAAGTAATATCCAACTTAATGCCATTGCCGAAGAAATTGAGGAAACACCATTTGTTGCTATGTTACTTGATGGAACGTCAGATAGTCCCAATGAGTCCAGCTTTTGACTGTACTGCATTATGTGACCAAGAATGGTGATATTGAACACTTTGTTGCTCTTAATGACATTAGTAACAATTGAACTGCAGCTGACCTTTGCCAGCATGTTGAAACTGTGTGCCAAAAGTTTAAATTTGTTGACAAGGTTTGTAGCTCAGACATACGGCAGTGCAGCAGTAATGGCAGGCAACATAGGTAGGCTCAGAAACGTGTTCATGAAAAGTTTCTCTGTGCACTTTTTGTTCATTGCTATGTCCGTGTTTTAAATCTTGTCCTCAATTTTGCAGCAAACAGTAGCAGACTGATTTTCTTCAAAAACGTAGAAGGAATCTCTGTGGTTTTTTTTTCCCCTCTCAATCTTCAAAGGACTGAACTTCTTGGAAGCCTAGTTAAACAGAGACAGCCTTCTGTTTGTACCACAAGGTGGAATTTTCATTCAAGGCTTGTACAAATTGTAAAATGAGCAGAGAAGCTCTGACTGAACTCTTCAAAAGTGTGGTGCAGAATCCAGTAGCTTGGGATGCTCAGTCTTTTCACTCAGCCATGGGTTTGCTGACTGTGGTTGATAATTTTCAGTTTGTGTTTCTCCTTTGCCTCTACAACAACATGTTTGAAGTGACAGAAGTGATGTTTCATGTTCTTCAAACCAAGATGTATGATATTGAGTTTTGTATTCAGCAGTCTTCTGAGACGTTAGAGCAAATTAGTCGAAAGCAACAAATTTTTGACGAGTTTTGGAAAGAGGTGTCGGAGTTAGGTGTATGTGAACATTGAAGGGAAAAAAGAGCAAGTGAAGGCCAAGCAACGTATAAACGTCTCTCCTTTGAGGTTATTGACAATGTCAGAGAATAGTTATTGTACAATTTGAAAGTGTAGAGAAACTTTAATTTGTACAATTGCTGAATCCAAAACAATTAAAGGAATTCCAGACACATTTTCTGGTTAATGCTCTTGAATCTCTGGAAGAAGCATCTTATCCAAATATTTTTGACATTAGTAGATTGCATTCCAAGCTGTGTGCTGTGGACAAATGATAACAGAGGCAAGAGAAAAGTGACTTGTATAGAACTATTCATGTGCTGGATTTACAAACTTGCTTCTCTAAAGTCAACAAATTGGCTACCTTAATTCTGATTATTCCCTACTCTGCAGCCACAGTGGAAAGATCTTTTTTCAACTTTAAAGCGCATTTAGACATTTACATGCAACACCCAGAGTGGCAAACACCTGTCCAGCTTGGTTTCACTGACCATCGAAAAGGAACTGCTTAGGTACTTGTGCAGCTTACCAGATTTTTATGACTTTGTCACTGAGGAGTTTCTTACAAAAGATAGAAGAACGGATTTTTAATTTCAGTAGAAATGTTAGGTAATCGTGTATTAGTATAGTCTCAGGTTTCATTATATTTGGCTTACTAGTATTTGGCAAAAAATTTATTTGGTTTATTAATCACAGTCTGTACATTAGAAAAAAATCTTTTTATCTGTCATCTAAAAAGTTGTTGCATACCTTATTAAAAATGTCATTTGCATACCACTGGGTAGGCCAATTCTCAAATAGCACATTCTGGGTTTTGTTTTGATCAGTGGTGGTTTTCTGGTAACTGGCTTTAAAAATAATTTTTAAAATACATACAATATTTTTACATATAATACTTTTTTTCTTAGGCACTGAAAGTGCGGCACGCAGATGTCACCCGAGAAACGGTACAGAAAAGTGTCTGTGTTCTAAGTCAGCTGGTAAGAGAGCAACTAACAAAGACAAACTTTTTTTTTAAAGAATACACACAGAAAACTGGTTTGACAAATTTTTGTTTGGAAACTTTCATTATTTTAAATGTTCTTTGTTAGAAACACTTTAAAATGTAACAAAATGAGCATTGAAATCACAGCTGTGTTAGAAGGCCAAGGTACTCAAATGTTGTTATAATTCTTCAACTGGAGAGACAAGGTGAGTGAGGTAATATCTTTTGTTGGACCAACTTCTGTTGGTGAGGGAGACAAGCTTTTGAGCCACAAAGAGCTCTTCTTCAGGTTTGGGAAAGGTACTCCCAGCTTTTGCTGTGACACTAGGAGTTCCTTCTCCAGACCTGAAGAAGAGCTCTGTGTGGCTTGTCTCTATCACCAACACAAGTCAGTTCAATAAAAAATATTATCTCACCTACCTGTCTCTCCAATATCCTGGGACTGACAGGACTACAACTACATTGCATGGAAAAATGCATGTACTTTATTGTGAGTCTTGATATGATCTATTTGCATTTTTAATAATTGTTCCAAGAAGCCTATCAGTAATTGTATATTCCATTCAGTGTATGTATCCATGCTAGCTTTAGTGTTGCTACTATGGCTAAAAATAGTGAAACCATGATAGCACAGGTTTCAGTGCAGGCTGTACGAGCATGCTGGGGACCCTGGGTATGTACTTACCTTGCTAGCCCATGCCACTGTGTCTTCACTGCTAGCTAGATTTAAGATAGCATGGGATGCCACCCCCTGCTGCAACCATACCTCCAACTGAAGTGTAGATATATCCATGGTGATACACTATAAAATTACTAGTAAGTTATCAGATAATGAAAAACCTAGCAATGGACAACTGTGAAATGAAGCTTTTTTCTAGCGGTTAGTGTAGTATGTTATGTGAAATATGATGTGTCTTCAGAATATATTGGGTGTACCTCTCAGTTGTCTGGGGGTCTATGTTGCAATGCAGGCTGCTTTTTACAGTCAGACTATGCAACTACACTTTACAGGCAGAGAAAAGAATTCTTTATTGAGAGATGAATTCAACTGCATGAGCAAGATGAAGCAGGAAAGTTCCCGCTTATTCTATCCCCACAACACTACTGGCAGGATATTGAGTGATGTGCACTATCTGCCAATGAAACACAAGATAAAATTGTTACCTAATTAAAATTCACAGTGAGGGCTTTTGTCTTTAAAAATTACACTTCCATCTAGTGGGGTATCGATCTGTATTAGAATACAAGGTCAGTTGGGGGGTATGGAGGAAGGACACTGGAACTGGAAACCAGCAACAAACGTACTTTTTTCATCTGCCTTTCATTTATGACATAACATGTCCATTTCTCTGTCTCACAAGCCTTTGTATGGATTACTTCAAGCAAAGCTACAGCTCATTACTCATGCTTATTTTGAAGAAAAAGACTTCTCACAAATTTCAATTCTTAAGGTAACTTTTCAGTATATACTAATACAGTATAATGCCCCATGTGTATGACCATAGATTTTAAGTTATAAACATTCTTTATCAGAGGGGTAGCCATGTTAGTCTGGATCTGTGAAAAGCAACAGAGAGTCCTGTGGCACCTTTAAGACTAACAAATATATTGGAGCATAAGCTTTCATGGGTATTCGTAGTGGGTATTCACCCACGAAAGCTTATGCTCCAATACATCTGTGAAACATTCTTTAATCAATGTATTCTTGTATGTATTGCATTTTCATAGGTGATACTTCTATTCAGCTATTTTAAATAATTACATGAAATAATATATTATCCTAATATGAATCTGAGAAAGGAACAGATTTCTGATTAGTGAAATATCTAGGAACAATATCTTCAATGACACCCTTAAAGTAACACCCCAGTTATAAGTAAAAATGTTCTTTTGTCTGTCCATCTCTTTGAAACAAATTATTTTATTTATTCTGGCCCCTTGGGTAGCTCTTTAGAACAGGTGTTACTAATCAGATGTGGTATTCATATGCCATTAATATTTTTATTTAACTTTTACAGGAACTTTATGAGCATATGAATAGCTCTTTGGGAGGAACTACACTGGAGGGGTCACAAGTTTATCTTGGTAAGGGACGTTTTTACAAGCAATAGTATATAATGTTATATCAGCCAAATCATTCCCTCTGAACTAGTTTGTTTATGTGCATTAAAATTTAGCACCACAGGTTTTGTGCCTGCATGGGACTTTATTATTTTCCCTCTCATTTATGGAGTTAAATAATTTTCAGGTAACTACCCTTTATCTGTTTTTCCATAATGTGGATCTCATTTTAGCTTGTAATCCATGATACTTCAATCATACCTCTTGATATGATATACATTTAGTGCAGTGTTTCCCAAACTTGGGACGCCGCTTGCTGGAAGTGGCGGCCAGTACGTCCCTCGGCCCGCGCCGCTTCCCGCAGCTCCCATTGTCCTGGAGCAGTGAACCGCGGCCAGTGGGAGCCGCGATTGGCCGGACCTGCGGACGCAGCAGGTAAACAAACTGGCCGGGCCCGCCAGGGGCTTTCCCTACACAAGCGGCGTCCCAAGTTTGGGAAACACTGATTTAGTGAGTGAGCTGTTCAGCTCCTTCTGAAAACTATGCTTTTTTGAAAATTTGAATTGTGGGGGAAATTTTCAGTGGCATAAATGGCAGTTAGGAATCCAGTTCCTTTTGACTTCCAAAGGGAGTTGAGCACCTAACTGCCCTTTATGCCTTTATCTCCCCCTACATCCTTTGCTCCACGTACCATAGGAAGAATTGTGATCTAGAAAGAGAACTAAAAGTCGTTGTTTAATCAAATGCTCCCATAGGGAAATGCTTTAGCCAGCTGGCTTCAGTATGAAAGTAAATAGCTATCTTCTGGAATGCAGAGTCTCCATCTTACTTTCAACTCTCATTCTTAGAAGGAAGAGAAAATGGTTTGAATTCTTTTAATGAAATCACCAGCATATTTTCCATGAGAATGGGAAATCATCGTGTGTCACTTTAGCTTATGTAATTTGGCCAATAGAAAAATGGGGGACAGAAAGAAAGGAGTTGATACCCCTTGCAAAGCTTCACTAATGGATTTGTTCTCAACGTTGTAGGTCTGTCTCCCCGAGATCTTGTCCTTCAGTTTAGACACAAGGTACGCTTTCTTCATGTGGCTAATAAAGTACAGCAGCAGCATGCTTTTTTTACATGGTAAAAATGTAGGTTGCATGATGAGCAACTGACAGCTAAGCAAGTGCACACATACACTTCTTCATATTTTAAGGTCCAGACTCTCTGCTGTACCTAGGGGGTGCTGCTAAGGAGCTGGATACAGCCTCCTGGGACTTTCTGGCCTCAGATGCAGGTTGGTGCAACCTGGGGGTTGTTGTTTGAGGGACCATATACCATCTGGAGATATGTTCCAGCCACTCACCCTTCCTGCCACCACACACTACCCATATTTCCTTGCCAGGAGTTGTGGGGAGGGGAGATGTAGCAACCTGCTCTGTTGGCTGTACCCTTGTTAGGGATTCCCTCTCCCTCCCCTACTAGAAGTATCTCCAGTAGGCAGGTTTCAAGTACTCTTCACTTCCTTTATGTATATATCACAAAAAAACCCACAACCCACATACACCAAGGAGTAGGAGATGGTTCTACCCCGCTTAAACCTGTTATCTCAGTGGTTAGAGGACTTACGTAGGATGTGGGAGACTCAGGTTCAAATCCCCACTCTGTCTGATAGGAGCAGGGTCTTGAACCTGACTCTCCCACATCTTGGGTAGGTGCCCCAACTGCTGGATTATAGAGTCATTCTCATTCTCTCTATGGCTGAATGAATATTTTGTTGTTTTATGCAAAGTGGAACAACTTCAGTAGTAGAGATTGAGAGAAACTTGCCTCAGAATACACCATAGTGCAGTGGTTAGAGCACTCCCTCAGGAAGTGAAGACCTGGGTTTATGTCCCTGTTCCTCTAAGGCAGAGTGAGGATTTAAGATCAGGCCTTTCACCTCCTGGGTAAGTGCCCTAATCACTGGGCTATTGTATAAATTGTGGGGATTAGGAATGCTTAGAGCAGTGGTGGGCAACCTGCAGGCCGCGTGTGGCCCATCAGGGTAATCTGATTGCGGGTTGCGAGACATTTTGCTGACATTGACCATCTGCAGGCACGGCTCCCTGCAGCTCCCAGTGGCCGCGGTTTGACGTTCCCGGCCAATGAAATAGCTAAGGGAAACATTTTTAATGAAAGATGAATTTACGTATATTACACACATGTACACACATGTAAATGTGTGGGCTTTTTTCCTGTTTGTTAGTCACCCACCATGTTAATTTTCCCTTCTTATTTTGCAGATCTTAATTCTTTTTAAATTGATTCTTCTAGAGAAAAAGGTAGGATCTGTGGGATGAAGGAGAGGATTGAAATGGAGATGTAATTGTTTATATGACTCTATAGAGTGTATGTTAGTGAAAGATAAATGCTACACTAAATATGTCTGAAGTAAAACCCAATGCTCAAGTATATTTACATGCAGATATAAATAAAACTGGAAAACTTTATCCCCTTGATTAACTGCTCTGTGTGTGTTGGTGTATAAATTCTGCTCACAAACTGTCAATAATGGAAAAAATTAATAGTTACTCTAGAGCAAAGGCAAGTAAAATTTGGTAAACTTGGGCAGGGAAATTTTCATAACAGTTTTTAAGGGATGGAAGTACATATCATGAAAAGCCACTGTGAGAATTGGTACAAATGATAATGAGAAATGGTCAACTGCATAAGGAAATGGATGGGAAATATCAGGACCTAAATAGTGCACTCACCATTGTAGAGTGAAAATTCTTAGTACATAAGGTCCAGCAAAAAAGAACTTCATTTAAACATAAAATAGATAGTAATATAAATACCAAAGGAAGCAAGCTTTAGATTTTTTCAAGTTTTAGATTTTTGTGAATTGTATGGATACTTATCTGAAATATATATTTAGTATCCAAGGTCATGTCTCTCTAGTCATGTTAACTTTGATTCACAGTAAATAAAAATAAAAATAAATATTAAAATAAGTAAGTCGACCTAGTTTAAATCCACAGAGAAGTGTAAGTCTTAATTATATTTTTCTTCAGGCTATCTTACTGCCTAAAAGAAGTGCTGTCTTGGCCATTTAAGAGGACTCTGGAACATGTACAAACAGATAAGAAATAGAAACAAAAGAGTACCAATTTGTAAATTCAAATGTTGGGTCGAGATCTTTCAGTAAAGTGGCTGAATATCAGCTCACAAATACTTGAAATACAAATACACAAATACATCAGCTCACAGGCATCTTTTTTTCCTACAATGTTTATTTTCATGTTAAAAGTCAAAATCTTACTTTGCTCCCCCCGTGAACAAGCTAAATTATAAGTTCATCTCCTTGATAGAAATGACTTGAAGTTGCCTTTATAGGACAACTATAAAAAAAATTGTTCATTGAAGGGCAGGAAGTAATATCAACAAATCAGACATGAGCAGTTTTTATCAAGGTTGCACAAAAGAAATCAGAAGTCAAGAAATGCATATATTATGATTGCATGCACAACCTTAACTCTGCCCTATATGCATTGTGATAGCTTATAATTACTCAAATATAATACATTTTTCTACATCCTCAAGCCTTTTCTGTATTAGAAGAGTGTGCTATTTTGTCTAAATCAATTAACAAAATTGATCTGGTCAAATCAGCTCAAATCTCTAATGTAGATACACTTAAACCAGTTTAACCCTTGCTTATATAGATTTTTGCTTCAGTTGGTAACTTAATGGATAAAACTGGTTTAAGTGTCTGTTTTTGGGCTTTGCCACCGTTTTAACTAGATACTTTTTCTACAACCTTAAATTACTTAAAATATATTTTGGAAAACACGATAGCGTAATTAGACTGGAAATGCCTTCATAGAAGTGGGTAAAACTAAGATTTGATGTGCAACCTTAACTGGAGCATTTTGTACTATTTTTTTCATTGCTTAGCCTTGCTACTTTAACATTCTTTCAGTGTAGTTTTTTAAATAGATATTTCTAGTTTTAAAATAACTAACTGTTTAAGAACATGAGAATTAGTGGCTATATGTGATGTTTGGGTGTTTTAAGCAATTCAGGTCCAAACCCTGCAATTGGATTCAGTAGCATAGATTCCTTTGCCCAAGTGAAGCCCCACTGCTTTCCTCTGGGCTCTGTAAAGGCAAAAGGATCTGCCCTACCAGGCCTGATTGCATGATCGAGATCCAAGTGTCTCATTGTGTACTTTTTCATTTACCAAAGCTGAAGTGTTGTTTAATTCCAAAAAAGTCAGTAGCAGTGCCACATGGTAATCTTAGTAACAGCCTCAGAGTACACCAAAAAGCCTGTCAGTTTAAAATTGCATATATAAACTCCTAGATTTATTGTGTTATATAAAACATTTAGTTTCAGAAATTTCAGTGTAAGGATGGGGTGGGGTTTGTTTCACTTTCCACATCTACACTGGTCTGTTGAACAGTTTCCCAAATATTTCAAAAGTCTGCTACAAATATTTTAAACTTTAGAATTAAAAATAATTGCTTCACTTTATATTGATACAAGAAATGTTTTAGAAACCACCTTGCCTATTTGATTTAAAAACTGATGATGGTAGCATTTCATAATTACAGCTAAACATTCTAGTTATCTAGTACTGAGCTATAATTCCGTTCTGAAGTTGTACAAACCACAAGACACAAATTCACAGGAAGAGTGGAGGCATGCTCAAATGACTCAAACATATGAGTCTAGTTTGAAAAAGTTGGACATCTATTGAATAAACGTGAGAATTCTTTCTGAACTTACAAGCAGAAAGTGAACCATGGCATCTGCTAAAAGAGAGAGAGAGAGAGAGAGAACACTGTTTTCCTGTACTGGCTGCTTCCGAACAGCTGTTAAGGTTCCAGAATAGTTGTGGGGAAACCTGTACAGTCAAAGACCTTAAACATACTAAGGCAGTATGCCCAATAATGCCACCCATTCTTGATCAGAAAGATGCCTTTTGTTCTGTGGCTCAACTCCCATTAATCCATGGGTTGATGCCTGTCCCACAGGTAGGAGGAAGCATGTCTCAAACTCACAACTACTGCTGGGTTGAGACACCATCTCCAGATGGTGGCCATTTGGATATTTATTGCCAGGATCATGCTATTTGCTGGCGTGTTACAGGGGGCAAGGGAGTCAATGTGCACCCAGACAAACTAAAGGAAAAAACACACTCGAATTATGGAAAGCACTAATCTTAAATATATAATTACCATGCCACAAACAAAATTTTGGCCACGTGTGGGAAGAAGAGGTATTCCTTCACATGGATGGGTTTTTAAAACTGTTCTGACTGCCTGACTAGGGCAATTCTCCAGTCAGCTAAAGGCAATGTGGCATCGCACCTGTTCTTCAGCAGTGAGCACCAGCAAGGACCAAATTGACTGAATTGCAAAAATGACCTTCTGCAATCATTAAGATTGTAGCTAGTCATTCTTACCACCCCTGAAAGTGATATAACCAACCAGTATAAGATTGAATCATCCAAGTATAGTAAATGCCTTATGTCTTCTCTTTAAATATTTATCTGAATAAAAATGTTATGGGGACTTTTATCGAAGTGAAATTCTCCATGAACTGATTTTAAACATTTTTTTTAGCTAGATAGATATAGGCATTAGATGTCCTCAGATTCTCTTGTTTGTTTGTTTCTGTTTGCTTTTCTCTCTGACTTAAGTTGTCATTTTAATTTTCCCTTCATCCCCCTCCCCACAGGTGTTGTTTTATATTTCTCCAGTAAATAGACTGGTGGGAGCACTAATGACTGTCTTGTCTCTCTTTCCTGGTAAGGAAAAGCAGGTTTCGGCTATTTCTTTCTTGTGTAATTTCTGTTCATAACTGAAATTGACAGTGAAATATTTGGGCGTGGGGGACTTATGTGACACAGGGGCTGTGTTGGTATATTGCCAGAGTATAATAGCCACAATGAATTCACACACACAGCTACGTAATATGTTTATGAAGCACACATGCGCACAACCTGATAACACTTGGTATTTATTGAGTGCTCCTTACCTTAGTAATAAGAAACTAAGTCTGTTTTATCTCTGCGGGCTGCATATTGGGCACCTTTGATATGCCAGTGAATAAGAAGTCATTGGTTCTGTGTTCCTGCCAAATGTTTATCAAACTTTAAATAACACTTGCCAAGGCAGAATGTCAGTGCTGATCCATTTGTGTCATAGTCATAGGCGCTGACTCCATGGGTGCTCTGGGCTGGAGCACCCCTGGGAAAAAATGGTGGGTGCTGAGCACCCACCGGCAGCCTCCCCCCACCCAATCAGCTTCTCTCCCTCCTCCCAGTTCCTCCCGCCCACCACGATCAGCTGTTACGCGGCATGCAGGAGGCGCTGGAGTGGCGGGGGAGGGGGTGGAACGAGGCAGAGCAGGGGCGGGAAGAGGCAGGGAGGGGGTGGGGCCTTAGGGGAAGCGGTGAAGTGGAGTCAGGGCCTGGGGCAGAGTGGGGGTCGAGCAACCTCCAGCACATTAGAAAGTCGGCGCCTCTGGCAGAAGTGGACTGGATTTTTAAAGTGGCAATGAAAATGCATGACACTTCTGTTTTGATATACTAAAAAGCATTTCCTACTTTGCCATTATCAAAAATCACTAAAATCTTTGGTGAGATGATATTGTGTATATGTTTGTCCTCCAGGTATGATTGAACATGGTCTTACTGACAGTTCACAGTATAGACCAAGAAAGAGTGTATCAGAGGACACTGGCCTGCGGGAAGTTACTCCCCCTTTAGATGATTATGTTTCTGTGTCTGTTGCTGACATTTCAAATACAAACTCAGGAATGGGTGAGGAAGGCAGGAAGCTATCAGGAAACCATGTGCGGGAGGCTCAGAAAACAGATGTGCCTTTATCCCATTCTGAAAAGAATTGCAATGGATCACAGTCCTCCAATGGCACTGGACAACATTTGAAACCTCCTTCACGCACTTCTCCAGAGTCTTCTGAAAGCGACTGGGAGACCTTGGATCCTAGTATTTTGGAGGATACCAACTTGAAAGAAGGAGAACATGAAAATATGACATCAGAACAGACTGAAATCCTTTCAAAGGAATGCCCAACGTCAGAAAGCCCTCCAATTACTGTGCAACCTCAGGCTAAAACAGGACATGTGGTTCTTGTTCCAGGACTGATATCAGGGTTGGAGGAGGACCAGTATGGCATGCCATTGGCTATTTTTACTAAGGTAAACATTCTGCTACTCTGAAACCTGTCATTTTGATAATTGTACTTGGTAAATATTTACCAACACTTTCAGGCCTAAGTTTTCAAAAGTGACTAGCAATTTTTGGTGCCCAACTTAAAGCCTGTTTAAAGTATTGCTCAGTATTCAAGTGCAGACTCTGACAAGAGACTTTATTTTTGTATAATAGAAAAAGCCCACTTTCCTGGATGTATTTTCCACCCCACATGCATATGCACTACTTCCCGTGATCTATGACTGTTCCATTTATTTTTCTAAGTCATGTTGTTAACAGGCAATGACTTGCAGACACTCCTTGATCAACTAGCTGCAGACACGAACAGCTTGCCCCAGATGGGCCCCCCATGTATTGTTTCTGTTTTACTTCTGAAGAACTTAGAAATCTTAATTTATTTAGTAACTTCTTAATTAATAGAAAGGATTGTTGTGTAAGTACAAGTGTTTCTAATGTAATTATAAAATTTTGATAACACAAAGGTGTGGGAAGTGCTACTATGTATCCCATCCATTTAGGCTTTTCCTAAAGTTCTCTTTGCTGTAATATCTAAGCACTTGCTAGACAAATCTGCAAGATAAGGTCCCTAGTGGACATCATGGAGTTTTTCATTCTTCTTTCTATCTTTGATAAGGAGGTATTACTTGAGGAATATCTACGTTAAAAAATAATAATAATAATTCAGCCCATTTGTTTCATGTAGGAGGGTTATGTGTTTATTCGGGCTTTAAAGTAGTCCTCTTATTTGCATTACAGGTTACCCTCTACTGGGGATACCTTGCTTTGCTTGCAGCAATGAGCCGACTAACGAGGCAAACATGACTCAGCAAATTAAAAATTAAACACACTTACACCTAGCACAGATTTTACTCGTACTGCAATTGGAAATAAGTAAGGCTAAGTTTTTGTCACAGATATTTTTAGTAAAAGTCATGGACAGGTCACGGGAAATAAACGAAAATTCACGGCAGCCCATGACCTGTCCCTGACCTTCGCTAAAAATATCCCAGACAAAAGGGATAGGTGGGTTCAGCACCCACTGCTGCTGGGGCTTCTGGATCCCCCACTGATGCGGTGTGTGGGAGTGCCAAAGTCCCCCTGCCCCGGGACTGGGCTGCTGCGGGGTCCCCTCACCCGGGCAGCTGGTAGCTGCAGGGTACCCAGGCAGCTGGCCCTGGCTGCAGCTGCGGTTGGGCACCTGTGGGGAGTCCCCGCTGCCGGCCATGGCTGGGCAGGTGCAGGGGGTCCCACCGGCCGTGGCTGGGCAGCACTGGGGGCTGGGCGCTGCAAAGGCGGGGCTGGCTGGGAGCTCCAGCCCCAGGGCAGAAAATGTCACAGAAGTCAATGGAAATCACAGATTCCGTGACCTAATCGTAGCCTTAGAAATAAGTTATAGAGAAGAAAATGTGTGAGAGACACATCATATTTGTGCACTTGAACCTTGAAATGAAACAAAACTAACAGCCGGCAGTGCTGAATCACAGCACAGTGACCTGCTGCAGCAAAAGCCCCTAAAAGGCTGGTCTCCGAACTCTTGATGGGGTGTCTCATCTTTTACAGAGTGATCAGGCAGCAGAGCCTGGGCAAAGATCCACTTAGGCCATGTCTAACTACCACTCGTGTCGGCAAAACTTATGTTGCTCAGGGGTGTGTTTTTTTCACACCCCTGGGCGACATAAGTCACGCCAGCATAAGTGGTAGTGTGCACGTTGCTATGTTGCCAGGAGTGCTTCTCCCGCCGACATAGTTACCACTGCTCATTGGGGTGGTTTAATTATGTCGAAAAGAGAGCGCTCTCTCTCCTATTGGCTTAAAGCGGCTACACGAGAGATCTTACAGCGGCGCAGCTGCATTGGTACAGCTGTGCCACTGTAAGTTCTCCAGTGTAAGCATAGTCTTAGTTATGGAGTCGAAGGAATGCAGTCAACTCAAAAATAAATTTCCGTCTGAAAATATTGTATCTAACTATTGTGACAAGTAACCTTAAGCTTGCTAGAGCAGAGAGAGAGTAGAGGGGAGAGTTTTCTCATTTATGATGTGTATTTACTGGCTTAATTGCCAGTTGATGGGCATTGTCTGTCTCACGATAGCCCTCTAGGGGTCTTCACACTTTTCTCTAAGCCGGGGGTTTTCAAACTTCATTGCACCGCGACCTCCTTCCGACAACAAACATTACTACACAACCTCAGGATGGGGGACCGAAGCCTCAGCCCCGATACCCCTGGTGGCGGGGGAGGAGGGGAGCAAATGCCAAAGCCTGAGCCCCTCCACCACAGGTGGGGGGACCAAAGCCAAAATCCAAGGGCTTCAGCCCCAGGCAGGGGGCCTGTAACATGAGTCCTGCCACCCACGGCTGAAACCATTGGGCTTCAGCTTCAGTCCCGGGCAGTGGGGCTTGGGCTTCGGTCCCTGCCCCAGTAAGTCTTATGCCAGCCCTGGCGACCCCATTAAAATGGGGTCGAGACCCACTTTGGGGTCCTGACCCAGAGTTTGAGAACCGCTGCTCTAGGCCCTGCTAGTAGGTATGTGTGAGTAACAGTAGTAGCACAGCTGAAATTGGAGAGACTACAATTATGTGCATAGAGGGGAAAGGGTAGGAGGGTGGAAGGAGTGTGTCTGAACACTAGGTGAGTCTGACCTTAGTTTTGAATCTCAGGATATTAGGCATGTCTATTTAAAAAGGTTCGTCATATAATAGGACACTGATCTGCCATGACCACTTTTGCCTGATTTCTGAAGCTTGGAAATTAAAAATGTGAACACACACATATATTTCAGCATTGACCTTTGTAGCTATACTCTGAAATTCTCTGCATGTTGACAGAGCCTTGAGATGAATTATGTCAGATATCTAAGGGTTTTGTTTTGTTTTTAATATATCGTGAATGTAGATGCAAAATCATGGTAAATATGCAATCCCTTCTAAAAATAGTTTTTGCGATGGGAGTTGGGACTGATTGTTAATGACTTTATATCAGGGGCAGGCAAACTTTTTGGCCTGAGGGCCGCATCGGGTTTCATAAATTGTATGGAGGGCCGGTTAGGGGAGGGGGTCGTGGCCTGGCCCCCACCTCCTATCTGCCCCCCAGGGGACTCCTGCCCCATCCAACCCATCCTGTTCCCTGACGACCCCTCTGAGACCCCTGCCCCATCCACACACACCCGCTCCATGTCCCCTGACTGCCCCCAGACCCACGCCCCCCCATCCAATCCCGCCTCTCATTCGTGACTGCCCCCTGGAACCCCTGCCCCGATTCAACCCCCAGTTCCCCCCCGAACCACCATCCATCCCCTGACCACCACCCCGAACTCCCCTGCCCTCTATCCAACCCCCTCTACTCCCTTACAGCGCTGCCTGGAGCACCGGTGGCTGGCGGCGCTACAGCCGTGCCGCCTGGCTGGAGCTGGGCCACACTGCCACCACCACTCAGCACAGAGCACTGGGTCAGGCTGGGCTCTTCAGCTGCGCGGCACTGCCCCAGGATGTCACAGCCCTGCCGCCCAGAGCATTGCGCCAGGGCTGAGTGAGCGAGCTGAGGCTGCGGGGGAGGAGCTGGAGGTGAGCCTCCCGGGCCAGGAGCTCGGCGGCCGGGCCAGACGGTCCCGCGGGCCGTAGTTTGCCCACCCCTGCTTTATAGAAATGGCCTTTTAGGGACTAATGGAACAGTTTATAATATCTTAAACTGGTAGGCATAGAATTAAAAGTTGTTTTTATTAAATTATGTTCTTAGTGTTCTGATCCCACTGGATCAGTAACTTATATTAGAAGCAACATATTAAATTGCCCAAAGCTAACAGCTGAAATACCACCTTCTCTGGACTGCCATAACTTATAATAAGAAAACGCTCTTTATCAGTGCTCCACAATTAGATGCTTGACCAAAACAAAAGTGTCAACATTCATGGTGCTATGCAAAGCAAACTCTGCCTCTAGTGGATGACCAGAGATGCAAATTACACAGCCAAAGATTTGCCACAGAAAACTCAGTCTTTGATGTTCCAGAGTTAAAATTTAAGGAATGTCAATACAAGTGACTTGAAACTGCAATCATGCCCAACTAACATAGATATATAGAGGTCCTACGAAATGACAACCAAATGCAAAGAGACAAGGTGGGTGAGAAAATATCTTTTATTGGACCAACTTCTGATGGCAAGCGAGACAAGCTGTCAAGCTTACACACAGCTCTTCTTTAGGTCTGGGAAACTTACTTAGAGGGCAGGTTTACATTTAAAAGGTTGCATCGGCGCAGCTGCACTGCTGTAGCCCTTTAATGAAGATGCTGTGTGCCAACTGCAAAGAGCTCTCCCGTCAGCGTAGTTAATCTACCTCCCTGAGAGGCGGTAGCTATGTTGATGGGAGAAGCTCCCCTACCAACATAATGCTGTCTGCACCGGGAGTTAGGTCAGTGTAACTATGCCAGTCGGGGAGGTGGATTTTTCACACCCCTGGTTGATGTAGTTATACCAATGTAAGTCTGTAGTGTAGACCAGACCAGAGTGTCGCAGCTAAATACAAGATGGAACAGATTGTTTAGCATAAGTAGTTAACACGTATTTCAAGAGACCGTGAAGAGGCCCATTAACACCCCTCCAGTCATTGGGAGGAAAGAAAGGGAGTGGGGGAAAGCAGATGTGGAGGGATTCATAGAATATAAGGGTTGGAAGGGACCTCAGGAGGTCATCTAGTCCAACCCCCTGCTCAAAGCAGGACCAATCCCCAACTAAATCGTCCCAGCCAGGGCTTTGTCAAGCCTGACCTTAAAAACCTCTAAGGAAGGAGATTCTACCACCTCCCTAGGTAACCCATTTCAGTGCTTCACCACCCTCCTAGTGAAAGTTTTTCTTAATATCCAACCTAAACCTTCCCCACTGCAACTTGAGACCATTACTCCTTGTTCTGTCATCTGCTACCACTGAGAACAGTCTAGATCCATCCTCTTTGGAACCCCATTTCAGGTAGTTGAAAGCAGCTATCAAATCCCCCTTCATTCTTCTCTTCTGCAGACTAAACAATCCCAGTACCCTCAGCCTCTCCTCATACATAAGTCATGTGCTCCAGCCCCCTAATAATTTTTGTTGCCCTCTGCTGGATTCTTTCCAATTTTTCCACATTCTTTTTGTAGTGTGGAGACCAAAACTGGACACAGTAGTCCAGA